TTCATTGTATATAATAATAATAATAATAATAATAATAATAATAATAATAATAATAATAAGATATACATATATATGTTTTATGAGTAACTTAAAGGGAAATACAATCTGAATTTTATTATACAAACTTTTGCTGTAAATTACAATTAAATAACACTGAATCCTTGAATTTCTTACACAGAGACACTGCAATCCTTACTGCTAAAGGACTGTTACTGGTTGTGTAATAACGTTCTTACTCTTGTAGGATCTTGCTGTCAGTTGTCTGAGGGAAACCGAAGTCCATCACTTCGTCCATCAGCTCGTACACTGTCACAAAGTTGTCACGAATACTCTCCTCCTCAAGTTCCTTAAAGTATTCCTTAAATACCTAGAGACACAAACATGCAGACGTAGTTCGACACACATTATTTTATAGTAGGTAAATGATATGCAAGTTGTTTGGCTGTACTTTCATGTTTTTTATCGTATATTGTTAAGGAAAGTGTAAATGCGTGCAGTCTGCTGGCTGTATTAAAGTAGCAATACTTCAATAGCATTGAATAGATATATGCACTAAGGAACCTAATGAAATACAAGGTGTAGTTGTACCATATATTGTCAGGTTATGTGATAAATAAATCACGATCACAAAAAATGCATATTATGATGACTGAAAATACTCATTTATGATTGGTCTCTATTAAAATAATTTAATCTGCCACCTCAAACATAGTTTTGATTAACAGTCTACACTGCAGGTACAGTAATCACTTGACAATTCACCCTGGCTGGGTGGGTTGATACCACATTTTGAACACAATAAGCAAGAAGAAGTTAAAGATACGGACTAAAGTCTCAGGAAACAGACGCACCTGGATAATCTTGTAAAGAAAGGAGTACACCAGAGCAGCATTGGCATTCTTCTTGGTCATTGCCACCACTGAAGAAAGATTTGTTAAGAAATAACTGTACATCTACAAGTGACAAATGGGCACACAGCATATGAGTTGAAAAACCTGCAAATTGTTGGACAAAATGGAGACATTTAGTAAACATTTTTTGGAAACTGTGGGTGGTATTGAGATGAATGCAATGACACACAAAGTTAGCAGAATGCCTCATACTGGCAAGCAATTGAGAACATGGCCACAGGGAGGTAAAACAGCTCAGTTGTCTGATGCAGTGCACTGGGAATACCACTTACTCACAACTGCAATATCATGCTGAATTAATAATGTGTAAGGAAGTTTGACTGCCCGCTCTCACATCAGGAAATGAGGATATACAGTGGCTAACATATCACAGTCAATCTGTGTTTAATTTTTCAACTACCTGTGAAAAGTGAAATGAGACCTGAAGCACAAAACTTCATATGGAGCTAGAGACAACTAAGGGATAGAGGCTATTCGGGTCTTTGAGATGCTGTAAATCTATTATATGCTGCTAAAAACTAATATATGGTAAACTGCTTAAAACCACATGTATCTTCAGAGTCATCTTCAGATCTTCAGCAAAGACTGATTTTCAACAGAGACAACAAGGCGCAATATACTTGACATGACATGAACTCAAATGGATACAGTAAAGGTTGCTGTGTTTGATCCACAGGAAGTGTGAGGAGCCGTGGCTGACCATAGGTGTCATCTCAGCGTCCTCTTCTCTCTTCATTAGGATGGGCATAAAGTGGTCAATCTCGTTCATGTCCATGTTCCCCATGTAGTTACGACAGACTAGCACCTGGAACAAAATATAAAAGGCAGAAGACATTATTATGGAGGCACTACCAAGTCATTCAATATTTATAGCTTTTGGCTTTTTGGATACCAAAGCTAAGCAGAACAACAAGATGCTTCAGAAACCACTGGCTGATTACAAACTCCAACTCCATGGATGGAAATTACACAATTTTCCAGGGTCATCTCACAAAAGAAATGGGCAAACTGTGTTTCCAACTTGAATATCTAGTGATGAATCTCAACATGAAACAGGAGCGTATGTAGACTTTAGTGAGGCTGCTTGTGAGGTTTAAAATCATGGAAAACAGAGGTGTGCAGACTTCACACAAATATGGTTTTAGCCATACTAGAAGCATGGCTATATGGATGGCAACATCAGTCTGTCTGTTGTTCCACCATTTTGGTTCAGACTGAAATATCTCAAAACTACTGGATCAACTGCCATGAAAGTTTTTACAGACATTCATGGTCCCCAGAGGATGAATGCTACTGACTTTGGTAATCCCCTAGACTCACAAGCCAGTCTCTAAATGCTTTGCTCAACAGGGACTGAGGACTTTCTCCTGGCTTTCTTTGCTAATACTGGGTGGAAACAATTAGAGTATAAACAGAACCAATCCAAAGTCTGGTATCGCGATCCCCAGACTTCTGCTTTAACACAACCAGGAGGCTGACCTTTGTGGTTTTGAATGAAATGTCAACAAGGCTATTCCAGTTGTTGTCCATACATTCATGTCCCCCTCAGAATGAATTGACATTTCTATTAGCCTCAACTGTGTTTTGTCTTTATTGCTAATTAGTGCAAATGTCAACATGCTAACTCTCTAAAATAAAAAACCACTAACATGGCTGTATACAGACTGTAGACTCTTAAGTCATATTTCTGTCCCTACCTCCTCCAGAATGGCTTTCAACAACCCTCTAAAAAGAGAAGGAACCTGTTTGGACTGTAATAAAAGATCAGTGCTGGCTTATAAATGCTAGCAACCTAATCAATTACTTGTGGACATGTCCTTGTGCAGCCTTTCCCACTACTAAAAAGCCTCCTGTGACTACATGCATCCTGTAGAGAACTTGATATTTCTGCATTTTGTTCAGTGGACTTCTCCTCATGACTGTTGAATGTCAATGAAAATTGCTGAGTCAATATCAAACACTGTCTTTCTTTGAATCTCAGAGACTGACATTCTGACATGTACTCAACAAACAGTTCAATCACTTTCTGCAAACAAAATGCATTGTGGATGCACTGAAAGGAATACACACAAGAAAAAGAACACATGTCCAAGCAACAAAAAATGACCCAGAAACTCAAGTTACGCTGCCAGTCGCACAGTCACACATTCAGGGATCAAATTGTATTTATTTTTAAATATATGTAAAAATTATTTTCAACATATTTTAGGTCTGATCAGTATCAGGTATTATGGCTGAAACAGGAACAGTATCAGGCGACAGTTTCAGACTAGGTCACAATTGTGACTGTTAAAACATTTATAATCTACAAACAATATTGTCAAGATTAATTTAATTTAGCTGTGAGAAACAACCACACCCTCCAATTTGAATAGAAACACACACACACACATACACAAGATGACAAGATGAGTCAGCAGTCTTGCTAGAGTCCGGACACACAGTGAAGTGAAGAAAGAGATCAAAGCTTCTACACTTGAGGGATCTAGATGACACACACACACACACACACATGCACAAAGCAACCCCCTTTTATTATAGAGGAGTCTGTTGTGCAGGGGTCACACAGGGGCAGATACAACAAAGGCAGGAGGAAATAAGAAATAAAAAAAAAGGAAATGCCAGGAAAGTAAAGTAATCTGAGGGAGAAAAGAAGGATATGAACAGGCCACTGCTCCGCTTCTGTGAGAGGAGTCTGAACCCACAGAGCAAAGAGTTCAGAGGTCACCAGAGAGAGAGAATGAGGTATAGACAAATCTTTGTATCAAAAAGAGCTGTAATACTGGAGTATCCTGAGATTCACTTGGCAGTTCTGGAATCAAACTTTGATAGAGAAGCATAGCAGCAAAATTATTCTTCGAATTATTCAGAACTGTTATTTGAGGAGTGCAATTATTTCATCAGAGGTCTGTCTTCAGGACAGGACAGGATCAGCAGATTTACCTGAACAGTATTTATGAATGCAGAATGTTGTGTACATACTGCAATCAATATTGATGGACTTAAAGTCATCAACAAGTAAAGAGTTCACGGTTTGAAATTAGTGTTGAAACAATCACTGAGTCAATGGACTGAAAATTAAACAAAAACAATATTTCCTTTTTTTTTTGGTCCAATTTACAAAAGTGAAGAAGTTTCTTTTCTCTGTCATATATAACTGGAAACATAATATCCTTGTTTTTGGACGGTTGGCCGGGTAAAATAAACAATTTGACAACATTATCTAGAGAAATTGTCATTGTTTTTCGCTATTTTCTGACATTTTGTAGACTAAATGTTTGATCAATAATATTTAGTTGCACCATTGAGGAACTAAAAGTGAAAAGAAGAAAAAAAAAACAAGACACTCATCTATAACCCACTAAACTGCATTAAATGAGGGTCTAAAGAACATTACAAAGGTGCCACCAGTGTATCAGTTCCAAAGATCAGGGCCCTGACGTTACCAACTGTAAAAGTTGACAGAAATGAGTTATAATGAGGTTCATTTCTGCTTAAGACTACATGAATCATCAAGTAACAATATCACTCTGTTCCAGTAATTCCTTGAGATTTGGGAGGTTCCAGCTTGCTGTTTTCTCCTTTCACAATACATGCTGTATGAGGCTGGAAGCTGTGACAATTATGTCCCAGCGACAATCAAACTGATGATTTAGAGTATCTTATGTTTCACCTTAAGGGTATTTAAGAGTCATCATATCATTGTCATGTCGGTTTCGAATGTGTGCCAGTTAAACTCAGATAGCGTCGTATATTCAGCAGGCAGAACACTTCAAACAGAACACCTCACACAAACAGTTAGCATATTTTATGCCCCAAAGCAGAGCGCAGCTACTTAATAATCCAGGTCTCATTAAATTCTACTGTGAATGTGTTACTCCCAAGTTACTGTCTCATAAAAATATATTCTGGTAAGTTGTGTTGGCATTTGCAAACACTTAATTAATACATATCATTACTATACTCTACATCTCTGCAATACATTCCTAAAAATCTAATTATATACAAACAGTAATAATAAAAAACAACATAATACAATTCAAACATGAGAAGTCATTCAAAGGGGTTCACATAAAAAGGGAATACAAATAAGAATGGTCTAGAAGAATTACCATTTTTGTTGTTGCACTTTTGAAAAAAAGAACAAGTCTTTTAAAACCACTGGTGCCTTTAAAATCTTTCAAGCGATACTGATCCCTAGGATGTAGCAGAACTTTGTTATTGGGGCACACAAGGCAATCGGTGACTGTTTACAATGTGTGAAATCAATAGGAGCCACTCGCTGCTGACCTCTGAAGGCAAATAGCAACCAGAAAACCCTCACCGGAGTGCATCACTGGAAGGCAAAAAAGAAACAGAAAAATCCACACAGCTACTGTCAGTTTGGACAGCACACATTTTAAAGCGCAACTCCATTATCAGCGCAAAAACATCGCAGAATAATGATGATATTTTAGAGTGACAGGGGTGTCGGGAGTTCACAGTAGCTTACTTGTAGATAAAATAATGGCTCACTGAAGAACGCAAAAAGACGCCACTGAGTTGGTCCGTCAATTGCAACCATTTAACATTGTGCACGGTCACAGTGACTCTTTTCATATGCAGCAAGTGGTTCACTGTTGCTCAACGTTTCCAATTCAACAAAACTAAGTGTCAACACCCATGCTGGCAGCTCTGCGGGGCTGTACTTTGGCACAGCAGAGCACCGACACAAACGTCACAGTGACAAAGTTGACATGCTGATGTTTAACAGGTGTGATGTCTACTATGTTCAACAAGAATGCTAACACTAGCTAATTAACACTACGCACAATATACAGATAAGTCTGATGGTAATGTCATTAGTTTTGCAGATATTTGGCCATAAATCAAAGTATTGGACGGATTCAACTTTGGACCTGATGATGTGGTTACATGGAAAGTCAGGGGATCACCAACGTCATATATTGTAACAATATATCACGAGGCAGTTAAATCGCAATACAAACACGTAAAGATTCAAATCGATGAGATGAAAAATGAATCGGGATGCCCCTTTCTGCAGTTGGCAGGGTTTTACTTTCACTTTCACTTTTACAAAGAAAAGGAAGTGTTGTATCACTTTATTCCTTAACTCAGAATATATTCTTCAATTTGATGAATAAAATATTAGAGAAGATATTGGAAGGAATCTTTTTCAGTCAAAATTTGTCTTCAA